TTATATTTTTGCTATTTATTTTATATAAATGCCATTTAACAAAGAAAAATCAACCAAAAAAATGAGTTCGCGTGTCACCTCTGACACGTGTGTCATAGGTTCGCCATCACTGCTCTAGGGAGACCTTCTGTGCCCCCCCTAGCCCTCTGTATGTTTCTGAACTCTTCTCTCCAATTGTAATGATTCAGATGTGTTTGTGGTTATTTCATTATTGTCATTCTCCATCAGACTAGGAACTCCCTGAGGGCAGGGACCCACTGCCAGCATGATGCCTGGAATACAGTAGGTGCTCAATCAATGTTTACTGGATGAACTGTCTGTCTCCTTGTCTGCATCCCCAGCCCCCTGGATTCTTTCTGAGGGTTGGGTCTGGGTCTGAGCTGCCTCAGGGTTCCCAACACCATCTCCAAGGAGCATAGAGAATGTTTGTTAAATGAATGAGGGAGGGAGGAGGCAGCTGCATCCATTGCTAGGACAGATCCAGTGCCCCAAGGCTTTTCCTACTTTGAATGGAAATCTCCCCAAATCAAGTCCTGGTTCCTGACTCTCTGGGTCCCCCATGTTCCCCGCCCCCCTTCCCTGTCCTCAATTGCTGACATGAGCCTGGTCTCCCTCAGAACCATCCTTTCTTTACTTCTCCACCCATCACTTAAACTTCCTTTTCTCCAGCCCCTCCCTCCCTCACCCAACTCCACTGCCTCATCACATCACACACGCCACACCCTTCCCCCCCTCCCTCAGGCTTCTACCTCCACTTCTCTGGCTCCTCCTCCTCCCCAGTCCCCTAATGTTGGTGTTCTAGGACTCTACTCAGCCCCCTTCTTACTTTCCCCTTCAAGAAGCCCATCCACCCCCTCAGATTCCAGCCAAAGGTGAGGTAACCACGCCCCAGGCTTTGCACCTTTTCCAAAAACCCTTCCTGGACGTCTCCAGACCCTGTGAACTCCTCGCTCCCACCTGGTGGAGGGCTCCACCCCAGGTCAGGACCCCACCTGCCTCCACCCAGGTCTACTATCAGGATGGAATCTGGGTAAAGGGGTTTGTTTGGGCTGTGGGTAACAAGGATTAAAAAAACAACAACAACACTAGAGCTTTAAAAAAAAAGGAGATACTTATCTCTTGGGCAAAAATCTGCATTTAGTGGCCCCAAACTGGAATGGTCAAAGACCCAAGCTGCTGCCCAGCTGGCGTGGCTTTGAGCGTCGACCTATGAACTAGGAGGTCATGGTTCGATTCCCGGTCAGGGCACATGCCCGGGTTGCAGGCTCGATCCCCAGTGTGGGGTGTGCAGGAGGCAACCGATCAATGATTCTCTCTCATTGATGTTTCTATCTCTCCTTCTCCCTTCTTCTCTAAAATCAATAAAAATATATTTAAAAAAAATAACTAGCCTCTTTCTTCTGACATCACCATGTGTCTATCTCACTGTAGCCCCCAAAAATCAAAGTTTCTTTTGTCCAAATTGTAAGCCTCTCCAGCAACAGCACTTGTAGTGGATCCCAAGGTGGGCCGGGCCTGGTGCTCCCACTTCCTCCGCCAGCTGCAAGACACCTCTATGGAGTTTAACTCTCCAGGGCCCTTCTCTGAGTGCCTATTGCCCAACAGCCTTGGCGATAAGGTGGGGCTAAAAGGAAGATATTGAATCAGTTATATAGTCCATCCTTGCCCTATCGCTCTGCCCATCCCTCTCCTCCCTCTACCTTCTGAAAAGGAAGACTTCGCCATGCTGGTTCTGTCACGTACAGGGTCTGTGTGGTATACCAGCAGCCAAGGGCAGGCCGGACTGTTCCACAGGAGGGAATAAGGCCTAGAAGAGGAGTGAAGGGTCTGAGGGGTGGGGTGGGGTGGGGGAGGAGAGAAAAAGAGCAGAGAGGATGGGGCTCTGCAGAGGTGTGGCTGAGGGGAGAGGTGCGCAGGGGGAGAACGGGTGAGGACCTGGAAGGGCCTTGCCTGGTATTTCCCTTTGCTGCCTCCTTGGACCTTCAGTGAAGATGCCTTTACAAGCCTTTTAAAGGCTCAGGTCTGTGTTTGAAATGCGTCCATATGAGATGGCCTCGGGGCAGCCTTCCAGGCACCCACAGGCCAGAATGATGGAGCTGAGAGGGCAGAACAGAGGAAGCCGGCAGGGCAGTCTGTCTTGAGACTGGTCAGCAGGCCCCTGACACGGGACCTCCATGTAGCAGCCTCCTGATGGCCCTGGGTGGCTCTTTCTCCTGAGCTGTTGACTCTCCTTTTAGAATGAAGCAATGTCGAAGGGCCACTTCCCCTCCTTGGAGGGGCCTGGTGGATACCCTGAGTCTGGAAGAGGTGGGTGGAGGGTAAGTGGGGTCTGGGGTTCTTCCTGGCATTTAATGCTCTGGTCTCACCCAGCTTCTTTTCTTAATACTCCACTCCGCACACACCCAACCCCTGGGCTGAGTTGAAACTCACTTGCTTTACCTCCCAGCGCAGCACATCTCTGCCTCTGGGTTTTGTATGCACAGTGCCTTCACCAGGAGCCTCCTCCCCACCTCAGGCTCCACCTCTTCTAAGAAGCACTCCCTGATTTCTCCTTCTGCTGAGCCCCCCTCCTGCCATTGGTTGTCTGGAGAGTGGCCATAAGACAGCTCTTACGTTTTCCGCTTTCACACACAGGAGGCCACATGCTGCCCACCCCAGCTCCCTGCCTGTCTGCCCCAGGGCAGCGCCTAGCATAGGGCTGGCCCAGGCTGTACTGACATGCTCCCCTCTTCCTCTGGCAGAGCTCCCAACAGCCTTTAACATCTGGTTCAGATGCTCCCCTTCCTCCCCTCTCCCCCCAAAAAGGTCTCTCCTGACTTCTTGATCTGGGTCATGGGCATCCTCCGAGCACTCCGTCCCTACAGCCACGCTTCCCTCAGTCACAGCCTTTACATCACTGCGTCAATCCTTCCAGCAGTTGGGAGCCTGTATGGGGTCTGGTTCTTTTGGGGCCCACAACCAACCCAGGCCTGAACACACCATGTCAGTAAAGGTTTGCTGAATGAATGGAACATCATACCCTGCTCATATTCATCCCTCAAAACCCAGCTCAAATGCCTCTTCCCAGAAGCTCTCACTCCTCCCCACCCCCATCTTCCCTCACTCCCTTATAAGTGACTCCAAAGCATGCAGCATACTCCTCAATTACAGTACACGTCACATATATTTGTGTGAGCAGCTTAACATGGCTTCTCCGCCTCTCCATGGCTCACGGGACCTTCTGCAGGGCCAGGCTCAGGCTGCCCTGTGTCTGTGCCCACAAGGCCTGGTCCAAACAAGGGCTCAATAAATAGCTGTGGCTGAGATATTGGGGTCTGTCCTGCCCCAGGGGCTCAGCGCCCCTGCCGCTGCCACTTGGCTGTGAGTTTCTGGAACAGTTCATGTGGCCGCTGGCGGAACTTCTTTTGGGTGAAGTAGAAGAGGATGGGATCCAGCACACTGTTGGCACTGGCGAAGGGTCGCGTGCCTTTGTAGGCGGCTGCAAAGGCCTCCAGCACGGGGCAGGAGACACCTGGCGTAGAGCGCACCGCCAGGTAGGCTGTCTTGGTGATGTGGAAAGGCAGGAAGCTGATGGCAAAGACGGCTGCCACCACCACAGCCATGCGGGCTGCCTTGCCACGCCGCTCCTGGGCCACAGGCCCTGCGGGGCCGTCCTGGCGGCACAGACGGCGGGCCAGACGGTAGTAGCAGGCCAGCAGGGCAGCGAAGGGCAGCAGGAAGCCGATGACTGTGAGCGCCATGCCATACGGCAAGTATCGGGTGGCCAGGGCAGGCGAGCTCAGGTCGTAACAGACAGTGCGGTTACGCTGGATGCCTGTGGCGGCAAAGAAGGCTGTGGGCAGGCACTGGGTTGTCACAGCCAGCCACACGACTCCACACACTATCCAGGCAGCCCGGCGGCCCCCACGCTTGTGCCAGGGGGCCAGAGGGTAGCAGATGCCCAGGTAGCGCTGGAAGCTGATGCAGGTGAGGAAGAGGATGCTGCCGTGTAGGTTGGCATAGAAGAGGAAGCGCACCAGGCGGCAGGTGAGGTCGCCGAAGGGCCAGTGGTCACCTTGGGCATAGTTGTAGATGAGCAGGGGCAGGGAGCAGGCGTACAGCAGGTCAGCCACAGCCAGGTTCAGGGTGTACACGGCCGAGCGCGTCAAGGCCCGGCGGGACGAGCAGATCTGGACAATGACACAGATATTCAGCGGCAGGCCAGCCGCCAGCACCACGGAGTACACAGGTGGCAGCAGTAGCCGCTTAAAGTTCTCTCGGTAGACACAGGTGGTCGGCGGTGAGCCCAGAGCCAGGCTTGTGTCATTGTGCCACTCCATGGCTGCCTGACCGGGCTTCCTACATCTGGAGAGGCTGGGGAAGCAACACACAATCTGTCAGTGACCACCTTCACTGACCACCCAGTAGGTCCTTGTCCCTCTCCCCACCCGAACCATCTCTGATACCACCCCACAGAGACCCCACACAGCCCTCATAAAACCTGGAATACAAGAGAGAAACATAGATTTGTTGTTCACTTATTTATACATTCATTGATTGATTCTTATATGTGCCCTGACCGGGGATTGAACCCACAACCTTGGTGTATCAGGAAGACGCTCTAACCAACTGAGCTACCCAGCCAGGAGTAATTTCTATTTATAATATCCATTTCTCACCAGACTTTCTGGTGAACTTTTATTTTTATTAAATATATATTTTTTTATTGATTTCAGAAAGGAAGGGAGAGGGAGGGAGGGGAGGGGAGAGAGAGAGAGAGAGAGAGAGAGAGAGAGAGATCAATGATGAGAGAGAATCATTGATTGGCTGCCTCCTGCAGTCCCCCTACTGGGGATGTGCCCACAACCCAGGCATGTGCCCTTGACCGGAATTGAACCCAGGACCCTTCAGTCTGAAGGCTGATGCTCTATCCACTAAGCCAAACCAGCTAGGGCTGAACTTCCTGTCATCCTTCCAAATCTGAGTCAAATGTCTCTCTTCTATAAGTGGAGATGGATGGACTTTGATTTGAATCCCAACTTACTTACTGGCTATGTGACCTTGAGCTATTGATAGACCACCTCTGAGTGCCAGCTTTCCTAGCTGAAAAATGAGGGAATGGTGCACCGACTTCTCAGGATCTTATGAGGTTAGAGGCACTAAATCACGCTCTCCAGGGCTTCCCTGGGCACCTGGAGTTCGGAGATGGTGGTCCTGGTGGGCCTGCCTGTTTGACTCTCCTTCACAGATTGGGAATCTCCTGAGAAGTGCCAGGTCTGGTGCCTCTCTGTCTGAGTCCAGCCCTGGGCCCAAGGCACAGAGGGCCGTGGTAACTCTTAATGAATCAACATGAACAAAATATTCACGCACCGTGAGCCGACCAAGGACAGCATCTACCTCCTCGGCCTGAGCTCCACCTTCCAAAGCCAGGGTCCTTCTTCTGGCTGCAGTTCTCTTATCTGCAAAATAAGAGGGAACTAGGTGATTCAGGAGTTCCCTAAGCCTCCTTCCACTTGACTTAAGGCTGCAAAGGCTGGAGCCACAGCGCCCTCTGGTGACTACAGTAAAAACAGCTTTCCTGAAGGCAGACGGCAGAGGGAGCAACCGCATCAACAGCTTACTTAATGGAAGGGGAATCCAGACGCAGTGAGGGGGAAGTGGCTGCTCAATCTTAGTGAATTGGAGGCAGAACCCAAGTGGGAGTTGGAGCCGGAGCCCAACCACCTGACTCAGGAGGCATCTTGGTGTAGCCCATGGACGTGGAATGTAGAGGTTCCAAGCCCAGCTTCAGAGAATCAGGAGGCTTGGTTCAAATCCTGCCTTCCCTTCTGCCATGCTGTTCAACCCAGGGCTTCCACTTACCTTTTCTGGGCCTATGTCCTCATCAGAAAGATGTATGCTGGGCCTGACATGCAGCAGGTGCTTAATAAACGCCATGCCTTGCTGTTTTATCCTACACCTGATCCCTCCACTCATCCCTTCAGGCTGACGTTTGGGGGAGCCGGTAGCAATGATGCCTGAAGGATTTGCCCCTGGTGGATGAGCAACTTCTTGTTGCTCACTTCTCAATTGGCATTTTCACATTTACTGGTGTCCATAGAGAATTCACTACTTAACTCCGTGGACCTGCCATTGAGATAGTGAGTCAAATACCCCCCCTCTCTCTATGTTACAGATGGGAGAAACTGAGGCCCAGAAAAAATATAAAGTCCTGCAAATGCACTCAGAGGGTGCTAGAGGGTTGAGGCTGAGTATATGGGCTCTGGTCCAGATGCCCAGGTTCAAATCCCGGCTCTGCCACGTGTGAGCTGTGTGGCCTGAGGCTCATTACTCAACCTCCATGCCTCTGTTTCCCTGTCTATAAAATGGGGTGATATAGTACCTGCCTCATAGTGCTGTTGTGAAGATCAGTGCTTGGCACAGGGCAATTGGTAGCTGTCCCTAATGTGGATATACCTGCTAAGTAAAGTTATGAGATTTTAAAAAGTTATAATAGAGCAAAACGTAACTCCCACACTAATTTCTTCCAACTTAAAATTTGATTTTTTTTAATTGATTTTTTACAGAGAGGAAGGGAGAGAGATAGAGAGTTAGAAACATCGATGAGAGAGAAACATTGATCAGCCGCCTCCTGCACACCTCCCACTGGGGATGTGCCTGCAACCAACATACATGCCCCTGACCAGAATCGAACCTGGGACCCTTCAGTCAGCAGGCCGATGCTCTATCCACTGAGCCAAACCGGTTACGGCTTAAAATTTGATTTTGATGAAAATATTTTACCCAGATTCTGGGCAACTGCAAAATGATGATGTTTGGATTCTCCAGTCTGTTATATCACGCGCCATATCACCTTAAGTCACCTAGGAGTCTTGTCGATCTCATCCCATGAGTTAGGAGTGCTGTGTGCCCAGCTCACCAGTTAGGCACAAGGGGAGGCCAAGGAGGAGGCTTGGCGATACCCCCACTGTAGCCAGGAAGGCAAGATTAGTACAGTTTATCCATTCGCCTCTTCACTCACTGTTCAGGCCATTCTTTCATTCATGAATTTATTTTCTGGTTTCTGCAGGCTAGGCATTTAATGAGTACTTACTGCCTGCTGGGTACAAGAGGACACAGTATATAGATGCAGACGAAGGTAGATAGATACAGATACAGAAATACATACGCACATTTACCTATACTTATACAGGGTGGGGCAAAGGTAGGTTTACAAGAACAAATGGTTTATTCTTATATTTTTATTTATTAGTTATTGTCTTATTATCTAGAATAACAACTGTAAACCTATTTTTGCCCTACCCAGTATATGGACTAGTTTGAGGGGCAAGACCAGTGCGATCCATAGGGTGGAAGAGACTTTTCAGAGGATGAAGGATGGAGCAAGCCCCTGATGATCGAGGGGGGTTGCCCTGGGTGGAGAGGGGTGTGAGGATGCCTGGGGAGTTCCCAGGTGGGGAGGAAGGTGGAGCAGGCAGGGCCTGAGAGGAGAGCAGCCTGCTGGGCCAGAGGGTCCTGGGGAGGAGGAGGAAGCTGGTGGAAGGAACCGTGCTGTGCCCCTGAACCCTTCTTTGAGGGGCCTGTCACCCTCAGACACACCCCAGAGACCTCTCTGACTTCGGTGCAGGACGCAGTGCTGCACGAGAGGATCCAGGGAAAACCTTCAGGTCTGCTCCAGGCCTGGCTGTCACCTGGCTCCTGCATCCATTCTGCCTTCCCAGGACGTAGGAGGGGTGAGCTATTCTCCCAGACCTGGCAGGAGCGGGTTCCGAGAGAGAGAGAGAGAGAGAGAGAGAGAGAGAGAGAGAGAGAGAGAG